CAGTCACGACAAGGGGTCGCGAAGAGACGAGAGAGAGCCATCGCACAGAAGAACAGAACGCGACATGATGTCGGCGGGGCGCGAAGAGAGGGGGAGCAGCGGGGATGTGCGCGACTAGAAGAGGAGGGATCCGAGAGGAGGGAGGGGAGGGAGGGGAGAGGAGGGGAGGGTGAGGGAGGGGAGCAGAGGTGAGAGGAGGGAGGAGGGGAAGGGAGGGGCGGCGGGCGGCGGAGGCCTTGGAGCGTGTCCCCTCGGGGAAGGTGACGAGGGAGTTGCCCGCCTGAGAGGGGAGGAGGGCGGAGGGGCGGAGGGGGCGGCGCGGAGTTGGGTCGCGGTCGGTGGGGGAGAAGGAGAGAGAGGAGCAGGAGTGGGAGAGGAGAGCCGGGGAGATGGGTAGGAGACAGATGCGGAGACAGCGGCGAGAGGAAGAGGGAGGAGGCGGAGGCGGAGAGAGGAGGAGGTGGCGTTGCCTTGAGCGTCTCGACCGCCTCCTTGAGCGTTTTGAGCTGTGACTTTCGATCGGTGCGCGCGAGCGCGATGTGCTTGGCAAAGCCCATCGCCCAGCCGACGAGCGGGATGCGCAGGATCTCAATCTTGGAGATGTACTTGAAGCGGCGCGGCAGGAAGCCAGAGAGCGAAAAGATGTCCAGGAACGAACAGTGGTTCGGGACGTACATCACGGCCTCGCCCGGCGGAGGAAGGTTCTCCTGCCCCTCGAGCGCCACCTTGGCCCCGAAGAGGGTCAGCGTCGTGCGCGCCCACCACTGCACCACGTAGTCGTTTGCCCGCCGCCGCTCGTTGTCGAACAGCTTCGAGTAGATGGTGGCGGAGATGACGAGCGGGTAGATTCCGGTCACGACGAAGGCGGTGAGCAGCGCGAAGGTGATGCCGAAGACTTTGCGGCTGACTGCGTTCGTCTTTGGCGTCGGTGGCAGCACCGCGGCGGCGGCGGCGGCGTCGACGGCTGCGGCATCGAGGTTGACTGCACTGGCCGACAACATCGCGACGCGTGCGAGCGGCGGCGCCATCGTCGCCATCGCCAGAGGCGACGGAGGCGCGCGAGGAGCGGTGGCAAGGCCGAGCGGGAGGCAGGCGATCAGCAGCGACATTGAGCACTATGCCGAGCGATGGAGGTGCAGCCAGGCTCCAATAAGAATTCTTCGAATAAAAGAATTCTTCGCCTTGTGCCGTCCTCCCATCCCTCCCTTGGTGCAACCTGTCCTATACGAGAGAGGAATCCCTGGGACCCTGTCGTGTGGGTGAACCCTGCCCAGCCCCCCTCCGTGTCGCGATGCGCTCCCCGCTCCCGTTCCCCTGTGTCCCTGATCGTCCTTCCAAGATCCTGCTCGTGCAGGTGGGGACCCTGTCCCTCTCCCACCCCTCGTTTGGCGTGCCCGTTTTATTTATTTATTTATTTCCCTCCCTTGGTTTTCTCTTTTTCTTTTTTCTTTCTTCGCAGCTCTTCAAACACAACAACACATCGATTTACTTTCTAGCACTCAGATCTCAGTGGACCCACTCCCGCTTGGCTCCGGAAAAGTGCCAGAAGTGTTTGCAGCCGTCGATGATCACCTCCCGTGCGTCGGCGAGTTGCGTGGCCGACTCCTCGCCCGTGCCGTGTGAGGAGGTCGGGATGAAGAACTTGGTCGCAATCCTGCCGCCCTCGTTGGTGCATCCGTCCACCGACGCAAAAGCCATGTCGAGCTCCGTGCTCGTGCCAACGATGGAGGGGACGTCGAAAAAGATGTCGCCCGACAGACGAACGTGAGAGTCCTCCTCGGACACCTCCATCACGTAATCAATCGTTGCGCCCTCCACGTCGTCGGGCTTCTCGCCGCCCCACTCAACCAAGAGCGTCTCGCCGTTCGCAATGATCGTGTTGCCCCTGATCCAAATCTGCGAGCCGATGTCTTCTCTCGTGATCGCTGGCTGCTTCCACACGCCGCGCACCGACCCGGGAGAGATCGGCAGCAGCTTGCCGGGCGCGGTCGGCGGCACCACCACCCAGTGCGCGAAGTCGGACGTCCGCGGGCCGGTGTACTCCGACGCGAGCTGCAGGTGCGACTTTAACTGCGCGTGCTCGGGGAAGATGCCGATGTGGCGTCTCGTGTCGTCGAGGTCGCGCTGCACGATGGCGTCCACCCGCTGCGTCCCGTCGCGGTACTCGACCAGCGCCCAGCTGACGATGTGGAGCGACTCGTCTGCCGGCAGCCCGGTCTGCCACTGTGGCCGCGCGTGGTCGAAACGGCCGCCCGCAAAGAGCGCGCGGTAGCCCGGCGCCGCCGGCCACAGCTGCTTGATCGTGCGCGCGGGCGGAGACTTTGGCACCGGAGCAAAGTAGCGGGCCGGAAGGACACCGTCGTCGATCGCCGCGCTCAGGCCGCCGAACTCGGCGTCAAAGGCGTCCTGGAGCGGGCGTGCCTCGTCGTGGTGCGTGTCCGGGTGCAGGTTCCGGAACGCCCGGGCCTTCACGCTCGCGAGCAGCCCGTCCATGCCGAGGTACTCCGCCTGCAGCAGCACGCGCTCGGCGAGGCCCTGGTCTTGTGGCAGCGTCAGCTTGCCGAAGCGCATGTACGAGAGCAGCGGCTGAAAGGCGTCGGCGTCGCCATCGACGAAGAGCTCGGCATCGTCATCCCAGCGCGCGAGCAGCGCGCTGAAGTAGCTCGAGGCGCACTCCAGCGTCGTCCGGGAGGACTCGAAGCGGGTGCCGCCCACGCTGAGCACGACGCGGCCGTGCGGCCGCGAGCAGCCGGCGGACGCGCCCACGCGCGGCTGCTTCGACGGCGAGCCGGCGGGCTCTGCGACGCGTTTCGACATGGCAGCCTCGCGTTTCTTTTTTCCGCGCTTTTCTGCTTCTTCCCCCCCGGGCGGTGGTGGTGATGGTGGTGGTTCCGGATGGGTGGGTGGGTGGGTGGGTGGGTGGGGGGGCGGGGGGGAGGGGGGGAGGGAGGTATCGAGAGGCTGCGGAT